ACAGCTTCCTCTGAGGGCGTAAAGGTACAGGGAGGATGGATTTATTTGTAGAAAGGTTTGTTGATGAGGGAAGGGAAATTGCTGCTGGCATTTACTTTGCCGGGATATTGGAGGCAAGAGTGAGAGAGAGAGAGTGCCAGTGTGGTGGAGAGTTGAGTGAAGTTTGGACTAGGTGCTGCAGGCAATCCTGAGAGCTGAGCAGGTTGTGAATCTAACCCTGCAGGGGGCTATTCGTATCATTGAAAATGCCATCACTGGTTTAATGCAATTTGGAAGCAATTAATTTGTAGTGGACCCATCTAGACAGTTGTGATTTTTTCTAGCCATACCCAGCCCCTCAAATATAAAGCTAAAAAAGTTGATTAAATTGATCCTGAGTCTGGGGAAAGAAGGAATGAAGCAGAGAAGGTGCTGACAGACTGGAAATATGGAAAAGTCACAGAACTAAAGGTATTTCTTAGGTCATTATGCATAGTAAAACTGGCAGAAAACAGGAAGCACTTAATTTTGTATTATGTAAAGTTTATCTTTCTCAGTGCAAAAAAATGAAGGCAGGCTTTTGTTTTGTTTTGTTTTGAGAGCTTGTTTGGAGGTTCTAGCAGGGAAGCACAGCTATTCGTTTGACCTTGACCAAGGATATGGTTCTCCTATCCATCCTCTGTCGGGGGTGGTCATCCTTTTCGACCTAGCGTGCAGCTTCGGGAGGGTTGAACATAGAGTTGTGAGGGAGGAAGGGGATACCCGCCTAGCCAGCCAGGTCAGCCGAGTCAACCCTGGCAATCAGTGGGTGACAGATGTCACAGCCAGATCACCCTTACATCCTGTTTTATTTTGAGGCAGGGTCTCACCAGGTAGCCCAGACTGGCCTGGGACTTGCTGTGTAGCCCAAGCTGACCTCAAACTGAAGATCCTCCTGCCCCAGCCACACAAGGGCTGGGATTGCAGGCTTACGTAGGACTGTTATTTGCATATAAATGCTAAAAAATTTATTGAATAAATGCATATTTCTGTATTGTCCAGCGTTGACTGTCTACATTTGTTCTGTTGATAATACTTGGACTTCTAGCCTGGCGAGCACAAGGCCCTGAGTTCGATTTTCGGCACCCCCCCCCACACACACCCCTGCCCCCCAAATACTTGGACTTCTAGGAAGTACATAGGTAGACATGATTAGTACTGCCCTACTAGTGTCTTGTTTCTGGTATGGTATGAGGGGAAGTCTGGCTGCAAATGTCAGTTTCCAGAAAATGTCTGCCTAGTCAACCATTGATTTGACTGTTTGTTATGTGGGGCATGGATTAGTATTAGAAATGAAATATTAGTAATTGAAATAATATAGGATGAACTAGGTCCAGTGGTGTATGCTTGTGATCCCAAAGTTGGGGGCTGAGGTAGAAGGATCAAGGTGAGTTCAAGGCCAGCCTGGGCTATTTAGACCCTGTCTCAAAACAAAAATATTATAGGACTTCTGTAAAAATCCTAACTGAGCTAGTAGTTAAATAGGTGTAAAATTAGGTCTGAATTAGTGAGCTTAATAGAATATACTTCTCTCTATCTCCTAGGGTTTTTCATTGATTGTACTGTAATTACCCGATAAGTTTCATAGACTAGTTATGATTAATATCTTTCTTTTTCTTCCCACCTTTCTATCCGACAAAAATTTTCTGAGGGCTACCCTTAGGAATATAGCAATGAATCACACAAAAATCTATGTCCCTTTGGAGTTGAATTCTTTTTTTTTTTTGGTACCGGGGATTGAACTCAGGTCCTTGCGCTTGCGCAGCAGGCAGCGAAACCACTGAGCTAAATCCCTGGCCCCTTTTTGGAGTTGAATTCTAGTTAGGGAGGAACATTAAAAAATAAAGTATGTTAGATGATAAGAGCTATGAAAGAAATGAAGGAGGGATACGGATTACTAGGTGGGGTGGCAACAGTGTTTTGAGCCTTCCTGAGAAAAGCCTTCCTGAGACAGACAGACTGAAGACTTGAAGGAAGTGAGCCGGTCAGGTAGTTATGGGGGCAGAAATTCATGTAGAGGAAACATAAGGACAGAGACTTATTAGGTGGCCACTTGCCTGTAAGTATAAAGAGCAAGGAGGCCATGTGGCAGGGCTGCAGTGAGGCAGGGGCATAGTAGATCAGCCAGAGATGGTGCCAGATGGAGATCTGATACCAGTCCAAGAACTTCGGCTTTTCTCCTGGTGGGAACCCTGTGTATTTAGAGAACAGAAATGATTAGAGTATTTGAAATGGAATGATTTCTGGTTTAATGAGATCATAGTAGTGGTTCTGTGAGGGACAGATTAATGAAGGACAAGGACAGAAGCAAAAGGCAAGTGGGAGGCTATTGCAGTAATCAAAGCTCCTGTCTTCCGTATTTCCCCATCCGTTGGTGAGCATTTGTTTTTCTGGCAAAAGATAGATCTCTTCTCTCTCTGTCTCTCTCTCTCTCTCTCTCTCTCTCTCTCTCTCTCTCTCTCTTTTTGAGACAAGGTCTCACTGT